AAGCTTACTATTTATCACTACTTTCACACAAATTCCTTTTGACACCAAAAATAGATATAATTTGCCAAATACTTTGCAACCCATATTGTCAATAGGAATGGAATATATGTGACCATAATGAGTTTAAGTCCCAATGAAACTTTACATAGAAATCATAACCAAACTCTGAAAAACTCATGTACACCGGTGAGAACAATGACATCACTGAACTTTTATCGTTAAATCAACAAACATTTCATATCGGTGTGCATATGAGTGTATTAAGAGTAAAAATGTACGACGAGGGCACTATCAAGTCTTCTCAGATCTCAAATTTCCTTTTTATATCTTATATTTTGCGTTTCAGTTTATGAATTCTAAAACGCCACACATAATCATAACTCGTAGCTCGATAATCATCGTCATTCGTAAGTTAAATTTCTCGTATTATGACGTATTTTCAGACGAAAATCACCTCTAAACATCTTCTAAAAGTAGTGATACTCAAATTTGGGAATACAAGAGAAAAGGGAGGCAATGAGAGGTCAAGTTCAAGCATGTATATGTAATGGTCAAGCATTTGGCTTTACTGGAAAATATAGCACATCCATTGGCCAAGCAGTGACCACATCAAGTACAAAGCCCCTTTTCATAGTCAATAGTCAAAAAGACTCAAAATCGTTCTCCAATTTATTCTACTTCACAATCCTAATTTCGTGGGCATATATTTACATGGTTTCCGAAGACTTACAACAATGTTAATCTAACTTGTTCTAGACAAGAAAAGATATGAAAGATATATCTTGTATGTTTTTTCATACATACTTTTGTAAGATTTTAAATAATATGTTATTTTATTATTACTAAGATTGTGATGTTATTAAAAACTATATTAATTATATTCATGATTATGCATACGTTATTTATAATTCGTCTCTCAAATGATTTAATGGATAATTAAAGATAATATAAAGAAAAGGTGTAAACGAGTCGAGTTCGAGCTCTTGATACTAGAGCTCGAACTTGATTGTTTATCGAGCCGAGCTCGCTACTAAACGAGCAAATATAAGCTCGAGTTTGACTTGTTTATATTGACAAGTCAATTTCAAACCTTAACAAATCAAACTCAAATTTTAATTAACCAGTCAATATAAAGGAAAATTTGAGCAATACTATAACTACATAATATTGTACATATAAGTGTACAAAACACTCCCATTAAGTAGGACCCACAAAAAAAAACTAATGGACCTCATTCCATGTGAGTATTATCCCTCCCTATATATTAATTCAAAACGTGTTGAATCTAGGTGGCAGATTCTTACGCTACGGATGCTGACATGACGAAAATATATGCTTCGTGATGTTGTTTTTATATTATTTTTGCTCTGAAGTTAGGTTTGGTATTAGACATAAATAACTTTATACATATATTTAATAACTCAACACATATGTTGTACATGGGTATTAATACTAGTGTACATTTATTACTTAATTGTAGCATTTTCCTAGAGATTTACATAAAAGTTTATATTTTTGAGTTTTAATTTAATGAGAGCTTGAGCTCAACCCATAAACTACATGAGCTTCAGCCTGTGTTGGGCCTCGTTTATGGAACACATTGAGCCGAACTCACTTCTTAATAAGCCCAAAATCCAAACTACCAAACAGACCCTAATCAAATTCTAGCTACTTGCAAAACGATTTGGGTTTCAGGGTTTTAGAATCGAACAGATCCTTACCAAACAAACCCCTAATCTTGAAGCGAACTTGAAGAAGAGGAAGAAGCGCGAGATGGGGAGCGAGGAGGAGAGCGCGGTGAAGGAGCCGCTGGATCTCATTCGCCTCAGCCTAGACGAGCGTATCTACGTCAAGCTCCGCCATGACCGGGAGCTTCGCGGCAAGCTTCATGTACGTTTTTTCTCCATTTTTCGTTCCAAATTTATGTGTAAATTTGGAAATTAGGTGTTCGACGCTGGGCGGGTGTTGTTTTGGAGTTTGGCGGTGGTGAATTTAACGAAATTAGACGGGGTTAGGGTTTTTGTTCGTTTCTTAATACTGAGAGTGGTCAAGGGGTGAAAAGGGGGAAGTTTTGTTTTGTGTTCTTCTCTTGGTTACGTTAATTTTGCTTGTGATTTCTCGATTTTGTTTTTCAAATGCGCGGTAGTGGTTAATTTTAGCTTTTGGTAAAATTCAAATTTTTAGGGTGATTATTGTGAACTTTAGGGTCACTTATAGCTTCATGATTTGTAGTTTTGTACTGCTTTTTTAGATGGGAGCTTTCATATGTGATGCATTCCTTTTCGTGGCTCGATAATGCAGTGAGGGTTGATCGTGGTTTGTCTTCAATTGATTTTCTTTGAAATAGTAATTGTTTTGAGCTGGTGAAAAGAGTTCTTTTATACTTCATTCTTGGGACAAAGTTCAGAGTATTTTTACAGAATCTGTTATTGATTTGAACCTGATAATTGAAATTGACAGTTCATGGCCTTAGTTTATCGTAACGATTATAATAAGTTCTTCCAGGGTGAGAATCTAATTACTCGTCATTCTTCTTCAGAAATTTCCATTCCTCTGATTCATGTTTACCTGATTTTCAGGCTTACGATCAACATTTAAACATGATACTGGGTGATGTTGAGGAAATCGTTACAACTGTGGAGATCGATGATGAGACATATGAAGAAATTGTGAGGGTACGTTATATTTATCTCAAGATTTTACACTAGACTACTAGACTTGAATTTAATGTTTTTGCCCATAAGCATGTAATCAAGTACGAGCACTGGATACTAAGTACACTTTTGAGTTTTGATTAAGAAGTTTAGATCTTCCGTGGAATAATATTTTTAAAAGCACTTATAATTAGCTTGGTCCTCACAGCAACCGATGATTATTCACGTCGGTTGAATGCATTGCCTTGGGAGATGTGATGTCATGTTTAGTTAAATTTATGTGAGTAGATGAATAGTGAATTAAGGTTGATTTGGTGTGTATGAATGATTGATATCATTTAATTATATTGATAATATTGATGATAGTGTGATTGAGTTAAAGTTGAGTTAAAAAAATGATTGAGTTAAAATGTTAAAAAATTTTGTGAGATTTTTCATAAACAAACATCCTCTAATGTGCTACTGGTTATGTTTTTTTTTTTACACGATTAGTAACAACTCATGTTTTTAGATTATTATTTAATAATTATTATTATTGTTATTATTATTAATGTTTATCTGATTTTTGTTTTCGTGACAGACCACGAGACGCACGGTACCTTTCCTGTTCGTTAGAGGGGATGGAGTCATATTGGTTTCACCTCCCTTGAGAACAGCTTAATATGCAGAGGATCTGATGACAAAGCAATGGAAGAAAGTTTTTGTTCTGAATTCTGTAGACACCCGTATTCTTGTATGCTTGATTCACTCTTCGGCTTAATTCCATGTATTATTAGTTTGGGAGATTGATTGCTTTGGTCACTACCCATTGGAAGCTGTTACTATTGTTCTTGAACATTGTGGTGAATTCAGGTGGGGATGGACAATTGAACTGGATTTGCTTGTGATTGGAAGAAAATGCTTAGAGACAACAAACGTTTTATTATTGTATCATTTCTATCTTACCAAAAACAAAAGACTCTTTTCGTTATATATTATGTGATTCGTTTTTTACTATGAAACTAATAACATTGAAAAATTATGATTGTCTGATAAATATCATGTAGCATGTGTGTGTTAAGCTTATATGTTGAAATTATCATGGTCTCGTGTAACATCACTCTCTATATATTAATTCTAATTCAAAACGTGTTGAGTTTAAAAGGTAGATTTACACGCTTCAGATGCTTACATGACAAAAATTTATACTTCGAAATGTTATTTGTATATTCATTTTTGCTCTGTAATTAAGCTTTGTATAGACATAAATAACTTATTTCAATGTTAGTGTACATTTAATTTTGTTATTTTTTTCGTAGTACAAAATTCCTTCTTCGTTGGACAAATAGCAATCTCATATTTTTTTCCTAAATTAAGATTTACAAATCACTTTTTGCACTGTCTATTTCTATTTTTTTTCATCAGTTAGACCATCAAAATAATTAAATAAATTTTTTATTTTAGCAATAATTTTTATCATATATTATTTAATTCAACACCTAGTAAATAAAACTAAGAATACAATTTGTAAACGAAGAATTGAAATTTTCAAAGTATATTATATGTTTATTTTTTCTCAATTATTTTATGCACTTGGTTCAACACCATGTATAACATAGTGTTATTCTGAACAAAATTAGTATTTAGTAGAGGGCCATCAGCAATGAGTTCGCCTCCCTGGCCCATGTTTTTATTGGGCCCAGAATGAGCCCCATGGATCCGAGCCATTGTGCTGTGGATTAATTCTGACCCGAGCCGCCTGAGCGTACATTACACTCGAGGCTGCACTAGTTTCAGTTCACTTTCACACTCCGAGAAAACAGTATCATAAACAAAGATCGCACTTTTACACTCATTATAGCTTGCACACAGCAATCGATTATTGTTCTGACTGATGATTAGCTTCAATTTGAGGCAAATGAACTGCCATTCGGCCAGCCATGGCCGGAATTTCCTCTCTGTGTGGTTACCGGTTTACTGCACATTAAGTGTTCGATAAAATGCATAATCGACGATGCAGCCTGTGTGTAAATTGTAATCGTCGTTTTTTCCCCCTTTTTTATTGCTTGATGTATACAAATCACCTGGGTTCAGTCTCCACGCCGTGAAGTAGCCAGAGAGATAACCTTCTCCGATCAGAGGTCAGCTGAGTTCTTTCTTCTAATTGTTCGATTATTTACTAGTTCTTGTTTCAGTAGAATCTGTTGTTTATGTTTTCCATGTCTTGTGACTCGTGTCCAATTCGTTAGACTTTTGAAGCGATTTTTCGTTAGTATTTGAACATCAATTGTCGGTCTTAAGAAGAAACTTTTATATTGATTTACAGAGTTGCATAAAGAACTGTATTTGGGCTGTGAAGACAAAGATATGCTTATCACCAGCAAAAGTCGTAATCTTGATCGAATTTTACGCGTCATTCGGAATCCGAATATTGCCCGGTTCAGTTCTTCCATGAAGGAAATGGATACACGGTCTGAAATCGAAAGAATCGTAAGACTCATCAACGAGCATCCTTTTCCCGATCGGCCATTACACCCCACTCTCCACTCTCAAATTCCCCAATCTGCACTCTCGGCTCCATTTGTTGAGAAAATCCTCGGAAACTTATTCGGTGCCCATTCGAACGGCCTCAAAGCATACGAACTCTTCAAATACTGCCTCAAAAGCGACCATTACACTCCGAGCCCGGGCGCCTTCGAGAAAACCCTCCACATACTCACGCGCATGCGCTATTTTGACAAAGCATGGGAATTGATATACAAAATAAAGCGGGCCCACCCCTCTTTGCTCACTCTCAAGTCCATGAGCATCATGCTCTCAAGAATCGCGAAATTCAAATCCTACGAAGAGACCCTAGAAGCATTCGAGAGGATGCAAAATGACGTATTTCCTCATAAAAAATTTGGTACGAACGAGTTTAATGTCCTCCTTCGCGCGTTCTGCACCCAACGCCAAATGAAGGAGGCCCGATCGATTTTCCATAAAATGCACTCTCGTTTTCCTCCCGACACAAAAACGATGAACATCTTGTTATTGGGATTTAAAGAGTCGGGAGATGTTACAGCTGTTGAGCTTTTCTACCATGAGATGGTCCGGAGAGGCTTCGAGCCGAATAACGTCACGTATAGCATCAGAATCGATTCGTTTTGCAAGAAAGGGCATTTTGGGGATTCTTTAAGACTTCTCGATGAGATGGAACGTGAAGGGTGCCCCCCCACGTTGGAAACTATGACCACTCTAATACACGGAGCCGGTTTGTGCCGGAACGTAACAAAGGCCAAAAATCTTTTTTTCGATGAAATACCGAAAAGGAACTTAAAGGCCGATACGGGAGCTTATAATGCCCTCTTGAGTTCTTTCATAAGATCGAGAGATTTGTGTTCGGCCGTCAAGCTGATGGACGAGATGGAGAAGGAAAAAATCGAGCATGATGATGTTACGTATCACAGCATGTTTTCGGGTTTTATTCGTTCTGACAGTATCGAGGGTGTTTGCACGCTTTATAGGAAAATGATCGGGAAAAATTTCGTGCCAAAGGCTCGAACGGTGGTTATGCTGATGAAGTTTTTGTGCGAAAACCGGAGGGTCGATTTGGGTTTGGATTTTTGGCATTATTTGGTGGGGAAAGGGCAATGCCCACATGGACACGCGCTGGAGCTTTTGGTGACGGGGCTTTGTGCATGTGGGAGAGTCGAGGAGGCGTTTTTATGCTGTAAGCAGATGTTGGAGAGGGGAAGGGTTGTGAGTGAGAGAATTGTGTTGATGATGGAGAGGGTTTTGGGGGAGGTGGGGGAATTGGGGAAATATGAGGAGTTGAAGGGCCTGATTGATAAATTGAAGAAGATCTTGCCTCCTCCAAAACAATATGTAATTGATTCATGTTGAAAACAGGGTAAGCAGCTTGATGTCGCTTAAGCAAGGTCTCGAGAGTCCTTGTGGATGCAGAAAACCCTTGTTGGGAGACTCACCCACCATTGCCAGGTGTGCGACCCGGGTCGACCAACGGATTAGTCGAGGCATAGCTCAAGAATTTGTGTTTTTAAATTGTGCTTTGGTGATGTTTTGAAGCAAATGCTAACAATATCTCCATGACTTCAATCTGATCCATCATTCTAGCAATATGCATAGTCATAGAGTAGACAACTGTTTTACAGACTGAATACAGAGAAAGATTTTGTGTGAGCTGATAACAATTTAAGTTGATGGCTACACTGTCACTGTTTCTGAAGATATGCTCGTAGTTTTCTGTTAGGTTGTTTAATGGTTAGACAGACATACTCATTCTAATAAATATACATGTTTTAATATTTAAATGTCATACTTTAAGTTACAATTACAATATGAATAAAAGTGTGACATTTTATAATATAAATAAATATGCATTTTTAATATGAAAGTATGATTATATGATGGTAAAGCAACGCAAGTACGAAACACTAGCATTTTGTCACTAGGCATGGTCATTTTTCGGTTCCAGGTTGAAATCGCTGGTTTCGATTAACGTTTTGGTGAGATTGAACTGGCCCGATAATATATACGGACCGGCTCAATGAACCAGTGGTTCATGGTTCAAAATTGGTCCACCGGTTCAGGGCCAAAACACAAATAAAAATGATAATAAGAATTCAAAAATAAAGAATAAAAATTTAATTTTTGAATTATAGTTCAAACGTTGAATCGTCAGTTCCGGATCGGACTGAAACCGACTGTTCAATTTTTCAAAATAGTTGAACCTGAACCATCCCCGATCAAACCACGGATCGGTTTCAAAGCACGTGGTCAACGTTTGATGCAATTTATATCTCCAACAACACATTATTGTAGTTTAGGGAAGTTTCCACTCGCATCTTCATTTTTAGATCACATTTACAGCAATTTACATCTCCAACATGTTATATAGCCTATGCAACTTCTACTAATATGATAGGTATAAGTTACCTAATTTTCAAACAAATTTAGTCACTTGCATATTCAAATGTATCTCAAAATACAATATGAATAAAAGTAAGATATTTCGTTGCATAAGTATTTTTTTTTTATATATATAAGACATAACTAATTAAGAATTAAGCAATGTAACACCTTACAAACAAGGGCTTTTCTACAGTCAGGTACCCTTGTACTTTGGCTTGTACTTACCTAACAACAGGTACCTTTTAAATGAACGCCATGTGTCCTTTTCTTAATAAATAAAAAAATAAATCGAAAAAAAGCTTAATGCAAATACGAAAATGCCCTTACTTAAAAGAAAAAAAACAAATTTACTTAAAAGGTGTTGAACTTTTGTAATATTAACATATGACCTAAACATAATTATATATCTCAAATAAACAAACAATTAATCCAATATTTCATTTCGAACGATCTTCTGCAAACAAGAAAACACTCACGAAGATATGATCGGAAAAAAGACGTTCTAAGATTTGACATTTGAAGAATAACACGAAGGTACATAATTGCATTTTCTGATTCGATATTTGAAGAACAACAGTATGTGAATTTTGTTTTCAATTTCTTCTTCTTTATTTCGATTACTGTCCAATCAAGCGGTAATGCACATCCATGATTTCGCTGTGCATCCGTGAGTTATAAGACATTGATACGAATAACGTTGTAATGTGAATTTGTATTTGGTAATATTGATAATTCATTATTTATGCTTCTCATAAAGAAGCACAATAGATGTTTGACGAAATGTCTGAAGGGACTATGCAGTCGCAAAAGGTTAATCTATCATGAGGATGCTCGTCAATTCAGCGAACGTAATGGATTGATGGAAGGTTGTTCGTTTTCATTTGTGCTTCAAGGAGGATATCAGTTGGTGTTTAGGATTATTATGTAGTTGATGTGACCGGTATAACGTATAAACTATTCTATTTTGTCTTTCTAAATTAATGAATGAATCTGTAATTTTTTTTGGTGTGTGTTCTGGATAGTGATATGTTTATTATATCCCATGGA